CTCCGGATTTGGGGTAGCAGAGGAGTGCTGGAGCAGAACCCGCGTCCAACTGCACTCCTTAGAAAATGGGGGCCCGTCTCTTTCCTGGCCTGGGCGAGGTGGAAGGAGGGGCGCGGGGGGCAATAAATCGCGCTATCCAATTGTCCCTGCTGTGCGTGGTTCTTGAGTTCGGAGGGGGAAGGGCCAGAGGGCTCCCCACCAGTTGTTGTTGAAGGGGCTCCAGCCCAGAGCCAGGCCGTGCTGCCGAGTCAGTCCGCGCCCAGGCCAGGTGTAGGCTGCGCTGTGTCCTGGAAGATGACCCAGCCAGGTCACCTGTAGGGGGCTCTGGGCCCCACCAGAGTGGCCATCGTGTGTTGGGCTGGAGTATGGACAGGCTTGTGAGGAACTGGGGCGATTTTTCAGAGTAAAGCCCGCCTCCTGCCTCTTTTAGAAGGAATCCGACCGTCTTGGGGGTGCTTAACACAGGCCACCCCCATGTTGCAGCGGCAGGCAGCTTTCCTCTGCGCAGCCAGCAGGAGCGCTGGCTGCCATGTGCGCTTCTCCCCCAGCCCCCGAAGCCCCTTCCTGCATCCAGCTTCTTGGAAGACTTGGCCTGGAAACTGCGCCTGTCTCCCCAGGCTCAAATCCCCATGGGCAGGGCCGGTGGTGGGGGGCAGTCAAAGGGTCACATCCCAAAACCATACTGTGGCAAAGAAGATGGATAGTTGCCTGCCCTCCACGGTCCGAATGGGGGAGACCCCTGGGGGTCTGGGTGGTGGTTTTCCAGTGCTTCCTGTGGCTCTCTAGGCACTGCGTCCGGCCCCGACGGACCTGGTCCCGCAGTAGAATCAGGCAGCAGTCCTGGGAGATGAGGACTGCTGGGTGGGGCCCTTTGATGCCAACTCCGGTGTCCTGGGACCCACAGCTGGATCTTGGGAGGCTACAGTGGCTTGTCCTGTGGGAGTAAGAGCCCTGCCAAAGGGTATTTTCAGCCTGGCTGGAGGGCTGTGGCTGGACTCCAGGTTCCTTTTCCTTCCGCAGAAAAAGGGGAGTTTACTAGCAGAGAGTTGAAGTAGCAAGCGAGTTTTCCAGTTTGAGTCCTGAATCCCCCCACTGCGACACTCTGATCTCCCGTCCTTGAGCAGATTATGACCCCACCCGCTCAGGGCCTCATTCTCCTGTGGAGAATGAGACTCGAAACCAAGGTCAGGGACAGCCGCCTGGTGGGCGGGGACTCCCTGGGGGGATTTATTCGAACATCTTGGGCGTGACTGGAGGTCAGAAAGGCTTGTTTTCAAGGGGCTGTTGCCTTGCTTGGAAATTGGTTAACGCGGTTCAGTTTATTTTGAGACCTCAGGCCACTCTAGAGGAGGAACGGGTGAAGCTGTTGTTTGTCCAGAGAGGGCACAGGTAAACAAAGGCTGAGCAAACATTGCCCAATGCCCCAGGTCCCTTCCCCTCCACCCCGTGTGGACCTTGGGCACTTTCTGAGGCCGGGGAGGGCGGGAGAGGAGGAGTTGCGCTGGGGTGGCTGGCGGGGTTGTGCCCCGGCACTGGTTGGGTTTCCTGCACCAGCCAAGGAAGAAGGAGCTGGGAGGTGGAGACAATGGGAGGCACTCCAAGAGGCAGTGGCAGGAGCTGACATCCAGGGCAAGGAAGGTTACTGGCCAATGTCCAGTGTGCCGCAGAGGCTGTGTGACCCCGGGCAAGTGGACTAACCCCTCTGACCCTCAGCTTCCCCCTCTGTGCAGTGAAGAGCTTGCCTGTCTCACGTGACTGTTTTGAGGGGTCGCGGCAGTGTCTGTAGGTGCCCAGTCCTCCGTCACTGACAGCTGATTCCCTTCCCTGGAAGGAGCACGACGCAGGGTGGGGGCCGGGGCTCAGATCCCTGCTCCGCCAGCCAGTGCTGCGTGTCCTCTCCTGGCCCCTGTTCACGGCACGGGACACAGGACTGAACTCACGTAACACTGCAGAATGCAGTGAGCTGGCAGGAGCATGTACTTAGCCAAATGTCTCTTACTGATTGTTAATACTATTAACATTATCATTGTCCCGGTGCTTTCCAGAAAGGCTGGGGGCACAGACCCCCGAGTGAGACTGTGGATACCTACACGTACCCATGACATCACAATTATACACAATAATAAAAATAAAAATAATGATAGTTCACACTCCTGGAGCACTCACAACGCACCAGGCATTATTCTTAGCCCGGTAGGTAGATTAACTCATTCTTGCCTCCTAGCCCTTAGTGTTTATCTCCATTTTATGTGTGGGGAACCTGAGCAACAGAGAGGTTAAGTAACTTGCCCCAGGTCACACAGCACATCTGTGGAGCTGGGCTCTGTAACTGACCTCTTGGCCTTACAACCTACCCTTTCAGGCCCCACAGCTAGGCTGCCCCTCCAGCTAGGTAGGGCTGTGTTGCGAGGCGCCGATTAAACGTTTCTCCATCCCAGGAAACTGCTCATTCACGTTACACTTACTTGTTTTACACACACACGTGCGCTGTCAGGCATTCACACAGGTGTGTAGGTGTGCCCACCTGGAGACCAGGCGCCCTGCATGAACTGGATCAGTCTCTCCACCTCGGCACCGATGATATTCGGGGCTGGGTGGTTCTGTGCTGTGGTGGGGCAGGCTCCTGTGCACTGTAGGATGTTGAATGGCACGCCTGGCCTCCACCCACCAGATCCAGTAGCAGCCCCTTCCCATTGGTGACACGCAAACTTGTCTCCAGACACTGCCTGATGTCCACTGCATGGGGGGGAATATCGCCCCCAGCTGAGAGCCACTGAATTCAAACCAAAGAAGCATCCATAGCCTTTAGCATCTTCTCGCGTGAACACGCTTCTCTCCTGCAGTAGATTCTGCCTTTCCCGGTCCTTCCGCCTTGTGGTTAATATCCTGGCTTTACCTCACGTGTTTCTGTCCTCCTGCCCCCCCCCCCCAGAAAGGCTCACCTGTGAACCTCCAGCTCAGACTCTCCCAGGCTACAGGAAGGGGTGAGGGCACGTGGGAGGGCAGTTGGCCAGAGAGGGCCCCCTCCCCCATCTGCACCTGCTGCCCTGCTGGACGTGGACCCAGATCGCCAGGTCTTCTGATTTTCCAGGAGAGATTGCAAGTTAGGATTTTTAATGGGAAATCCCCAGTTTTTTAAAATGTTGGCAACTGACTCAAACATTTTGAAAGCCCCAAGTGAGCCAGCCTGAAAACATCTGTGGCCGATTTTGGTCTATTGGAGCCCTCTGGTTTCCAACCTTCTCTTTAGCATTGCTTAAAGAGAATTAAGTTCCCAGCAATAATAAACAAAAATAAATACCTCAGAAGGAACAAAGACGATCTGTAAGCTGATGGATGTGTTGGTCATTAACTAGGTGGGGAAAGTCCCTTCACAGTATGTACACATGTCGGAGCACCGCAGTGCACACTTTAAGTATCTTATGATTTGTCAGTTATTCCTTGATAAAGCTGAAAAAAATTAAAATAGAGAAACAAGGTTTTGGAAGCCCCCGTCAATAACTTTTGTCTCTTCATGATTATGAGCCAGAATTTAAAATCAGAAGGTGTTACAGTAAAAAAGCCCCTGGATTTCTGGCTTCTCTTGGAACAATCAGAAGTTCTGGCGACCCTGGGGCATCATGTTGTATGAGACAGGTGGCCGGAGGGGGGTGTGTGTGTGTGTGTATACTTTCAAAGTAACACCCCAAACCCAGAGGTTGGGGTATCATTGTGCCTGGTTACAGGACCCCTGAGCAGGGTCTTAAACTGACAGACCCTGTACATTTCAGCTGATGGAGTGAGTTCTGGGGCCAAGGGTTTTCACTCTGGGATAAACACTCTGCACTATACCTGGGGAAGGGCGCACTGGCCCACAATACCCAAGAGGTCTGGCAGCGAATCACGTCCAAAGAACTTGTTAAGAATGCAGGTTCCTGGGCAGACCCTGTCCGTCCCCTGCACGGTGACTGTGATTCCGCAGCTGGAGGGCAGGGTATGTGCCTGGTGATGAGCAGTCCAGGCGCTTCTGTCGACGCCCTAGTGTGGAAGCTGCCCAGACAGCTAGCCCTCCACCGCGAAGGAAGAAGGGAGCAGCAGGAACTTCTCTGTGTTTAGCCTGCGGCTCTGGAGCTTTGATGTGCACAGGACGTAGAGGGCATTGCTGAGCAGGCAGACGCCTGGGACCAGCCCCCGGGATTCTCACTCAGTGTCCTCGATGGGGCTCCGCTGGAAACAGGCCCTGGAATCCCGGCCGTCTGGTGGACGGCACTGGGAAAACAGCCTACACTGGACCAGGCACTTGGTGTCTTGTGGTGCCGTGTGTCCATTTATTCCTGCTCCGTGTATTCATTCCTTCACCCCTGCACTTACTCACCCAACAAATACTTACCCGGTGCAGTCAGGCACTGGTGCTCAGGTGAAGAAAGAAATGCGTGTTCTCTTCTCAAGGAACCCCTCCCGTGGTCCTCATCCGAAGCCTTCACTGCAGCCGTTCACCCGTCACAAAGATGAGTAAGTCCAGGGCAGGCAAGGATACTTCTCTTGTGACCCACAGTGGTAGCAGGAGCAGGAAGTGTGTTTGCCGCCATTGATGTGGTGTTTGCCTGGGTGCAAGGCCCTTTGCTGCTGCTGAAACTGGTACAGACATACCTCAGAGATACTGCGTGTTTGGGTCCAGACCACTGCAATAAAGTGAATATCTCAATAAAAGCGAGTCACACAAAAATTTGTTTTGGTTTCTCAGTGGATATGAAAGTTATGTGTACACTATACTGCAGTCTGTTAAGTGTGCAGTAGCATTGTGTCTAAAAAACAATGCACATGCCTTAATTTAAAAATACTGTGATGCCTAAAACATGCTAACCATCATTTGAGCCTTCTGTGAGTTGCGGAAGCAACGTCAAACTCACTGATCACAGATCACCATTGCAAATGTAGTCATAGTGAGAAAGTTTGAAAGAGGGCAAGAATGACCAAAATGTGACACACAGATGCAAAGTGAGCAAATGCTGTGGGAAAAACGGCACTGATAGACTTGCTCAGCGCAGAGATGCCACAAAACTTCTATTTGTGAAAATGCAGTGTCTGCGGAGCACAGGGAAATGAGGGGTGCTTGTACAAGGAGGTGATGCCATTTGCCCAAGGTCACGGCTTGCAAAGTGGAAGACTGAGATCTGAACACAAAGCCCCAAAGTTCATGCTTCCTCCACGTGCCCATGTCTACATCCTCATCCGTGTTTACTGAGCCTTTACTGTGTGTCAGGGGCCCTGCCAAGAACTGGGGATGCATTGTAGACTATGACAGGCACAGTCTGGCCCCAGGAGCTCTGCTCTCGAGTGAGGACGAAGGGGAGGATTCCGTGGAGAAAGTGTGCGGTGGGGAAGGTGGAACAGGCAGTCGCCCCGAGAGGTCAGGTCTCAAGGGCTTTGAAGCCAGACAAATGTGGGAAGAGAGATAGGGGATTCTCTACCCAACTTGCTTCCCATCCAAATGCAGCATCTGTCTGGGAATGTGTATTTCATGTGTCCCCACATCATGACTCTGTTAAAGGAACGCCGGTTAAGTGGAGCACAAGATGCCAGATAATGACTCAAGTTTCCACGATGGACCGTGCAGAAACCAGTAGAGAAGCTGATTACTCACAGGTCTTGGGGAAGTCCCCAGCATGCCTCGAGGGGCCCTACACGGGTCAAGGCAGGGTGCAGACTGAGAGGCAGGACCTGGCACATGCCTTTGTTAGGGTCTGTGCCTGCGGTGCTGTAGGGTTACTGGGCCAGGGCGGGATTGGCCAATTCAAACCGAAAGAGAGAGGTTTTGGTGACCCCACAGGGGTCTTATCCAAGGCGGATATAACGCATAAAGCCACTGGGAGGTGGGAGAGACTTGCTCACAAGAGCTGTTGGGGGAGTCCTTCCAGGAACCTATGTTAGCTCGTGACTGCTGGTTGCTGTCTAGGGCATTTTAGCTTCACCTCCTTCCCCTGCCATAGTCTGCTTGTCCAAACAGAATGGATGCTGAGGTCGCCACACCGTGGAGCAGCTTAGCCGAGCTCTCAGCACCCCTTTCCCAAAGCATGTCCTGGAGAATGTAGGCTCCAGGGAATATTGATAAGGTGTTTGGAGAAAACGGGGTCCTGTGTTGGAGAAGCTTGGGGAAATGCTGCATTCATATTTTCTACTACAAAGAACGGTGCTGGTGCTGAGTCAAGATTTTGTTCACCGAATAAATAAATAAAACAAGCCTTTTTGGTTTGTTTGTTTTCCTTCAGAAGTGTTTAGTTGTGGATGGAAGTGGGGGTTGGGGATAGGTTACAACGTGCGGCATTTTCTGAACTTGTGTGATCATGGAACTTTCCCTTCGTAGAGCATCTTGGGGGCTGGTCCAAGCCTTCCTAAGAGCAGAGAATATTGTGTGTGTGTCTGTGTGTGTGGGCGTGTAAGTATGTGTGTGTCTGTCTCTGTGTGTATCTTCCTGCCGCTACGGCAGGTCCGTCAGCACCATGGACAGAGCCCCACCGCTGTGATGGGCTCACAAGCGTCGCCTCCTGAAGCCTCCCAGCCATGTCATGAGGCGGTATATCACCCCCACTTTACAGATACGGAAACAGGCTGAGGGGGGTTATCCCCCCAGACTCTCCCAGCTAGTGAGTACCAGAGCTTAGTAGTCTGAATCGAATGCCCACAGCCACACTGGTCTGTACTTCATGGAATGCTTGTGAAATGGACATGGCCAGCAGCTAGCAAAGCAGAAAGACTGCTTACAACTGATGGGGGGTATGCTAGGGGAATTTGTGTCGGGAGTCGATG